TTCCCAGGTAAGAGAGGTGGACTGTAAACGGCATAGTCGACCAAGTCTTTCCTTAGCCAGAACCCAACCAAATATAACTACTCATTGTATCCAACTTTCCTTATGTTAATGGGGATCAATTACTTAATATCTAGCAATGTTTTTCTCTCATTAACCGATTATTTCCTTAATCTATCAATCACAATCATTCAAGTATAAATAAAATAAACAATTATAAAATTAACCGAATAATGCAAGCACAATACAATACCAAATTGTCAAAGATTATTCCTATGATAATTAATTAAGGCCGGCGTAACCTCGCCTAGTGATTTGTGAAAATCATTATTTGAGAATAGGCTCTCCTTAATTATTTATCGCTAGTAGGGCTTAGGTCACCACTACACACATATATATTAAGTTATTTTACGCTAACCGTCCCAATCGTATACGAAATCTTGCCCCCACCTTTTGTTGAGTGTTGTTGAAAGTCCACAAGTGTTGTCTTCGATCTTTGCCAAGAACCTAATTTACGATAACCGTTGGATTGTACGAAATTTATGAAATAATTAGAATATAATTTATGGTTAATTGAACATAATCCCGTTATAACTTGAAATATTTATTTATTTAAATATATCATAATAACCTCCAAAATAATTATTAAATTCAAATATAAATTATATTATACCTCCTTTTGAATTTGTTTGTTTTAGAAAATTGTCAAGAGTATATTTCTAATAACATTTAAATTATAATAAAATTTGGGCATTATAACGACTTAAAATGGTAAAATTTATTTTGGACTTTATAAGTTCAATATATCGACGTCTGAACGGAATTTGCATAGAAAATTTAAAATAACCTTTATATAAATAACATAATTAAAATAATATAATTAAAATAAAATGGACATTATAACGGCTTACCGATTACTTATGAAAATGATTTGGGCAGAACTTTGACGTATAAAACTCCCTTGAAACTTTAGAAGAACTTTTACCACAAAATACTCTAAAGGTTACGAACCGATATCGTGGGAACTTCGATAACTAAAACTAATATTGCTATATGAAGAAATTAGAGAAGGAAAGAAGTAAAGAAGTAAGAAAGATGATTTGTGAATGAATGAATGAAAATGGGGTGGAAGAGACCCCTATTTATACTAGTTGTAAAATATTAAAATAACATAATTTATCATCTTTTGCCCATACCTTCCAACTTTTCAACTCTTGCTAGTAAATATGTCTCTATCAAATATTTACTAATCTTTCATCAATAGTGCTTTAGGTGTTCTAGTATGACTTTGTGAAAATAATTTATGACAAAGGTATGGGAGCTTGATTTCATGACATAATATTATGTAGGATATTAATAGAAAATGAGATATATATTTCTTTTATAAAAAGTAAAATGTTAATAATATTAATAATAATAAAAATAGTAAAAAGGATAGTTATTTGATATTTTTATTGTCTTAAGATTATTTTATTTATTAATTGGTTTATAGAGTAAAATGATAATATTCAAATAAAATAAAATCAATTAATAATAACAAAACAAGAACAACAATAATGATAATAATAATATGAATAATTAATTAACTTAAAGTTAAGGGTTTTAAGTACCAATTTAAATTTCAAAGTTTAGTTTATAAAATGAAACGATGATATTCAAATTGAAGAATAAAAGTAATAAATATAAAAAGTAATTAATTAATAAATTAATTATTATAAGTGTTAGTTTCAACATTTAATTTTTAATAACTAGCATTGTTAAAATCTCAAATCTAACTAGATATATTATTTAGTGTATGGAAAAATTAGGATGTTACATGTTCTGACTTCTATTTTAGAGAAAGAAAAGAAAAATTGACAGAGACATTAAGTCAAACATGTATAAATAACTTTCATTGACATAGAAAACCTAATTTTCAACCGCACTATAATCGACTTTAATGAGTTGCACAAAATAGAATTGAAGAACGAGCAATGTTTTGCGATATTTTTTAAAATATTACAAAAAAAAATTAATTTGTTTTTTATAAATTAAAAGATAAATTTTGACATACTATAACATAAACATACATTAATAAAAATTAAAATATAGTTAATATCACAGTTTTTTTTTAAGTAGTATCTCAAAAATATTTTTTATGAAAAACTATTTGCAATAGCTTTAAAATTAAGTAAAATTTTTAGAAATTTTGATATCCAAACAAAGTTTTGATATAATGATGAAATACATAAAATAACATTTTAAGAATAACTATTCAAACCTAATTTTCATTTAAAATTACTATGGAAAGTTTCTGTGATTTTTTTTATGCCAAAATATGTTACATTATAAAAATCATTTTAAAAAAAGACAAAACAAATGGGTTTTTAGTAAACCCTAAACTCATCCCTCTCTTGGTAGAAGTTAATTAATACATGGGGTATTTGCATGTGTTTCCCCCTTGTAAGAATAAAAAAATGAGTCATGGATGTCTTACATGTGTTCGATCTATGATGAACCTTATGGAGAGGTTTGTAGGGAAGTATTCATCGGGAGAAGAGGGGTTTGGACAAATTACTGACTAGTATGCTTATGTTGACTTGTTGCGTAATCGACTGCGGCTGGGTAATGCAAAATAAAAGCCTATGACCTCTATTTAACGTCAACACCTATGGAGCTCTGAACGTCGATCATGTAAAGTTAACATACATCTTACTTTAGAGAGTTTGGTTAAACTTATCACTAGCCAAATATCCTACATGATCCACTCAGAATTGGCCCATTTGTGTTTGAGATTAACAAGACCCCTCAAAAAATTAAGGTCTGACTCGTTATGGCTTCAAACCTATAAAGTATGAACTTCAGCTAAAAGATAAGTTGACGCGCTTGGAGCCGACCATTTTATCTTATTCACATTTGAACAAGTAAGTTATTATCAAGGAGATAAAACGTAGTAGGGCTACACAACCAAAAAGACCAACATGGTCACAACTAAAAACAATCTCATAAAGAGCTTGAATATTATTGTCAAAAAGATCAGGAAGGCGTCCAAAACATTACAAAATGCATTCGTAAGGAATGACTAAAACAATTATGAACCATTGCTCTAGTGAGAGATCTCTGATTTTAATCACACTAAAGATTCTGAGACATTAGAACTCAACTCATTTGGGTCATGTAAAGAATAAAGTGAGACATGCTCAGAATTTTCTGAGACCTATGATCATCTAAAACTATCAGAATGTGGTTGCTGCTAATTCGAAAACACGCATGGGCTATCACAATCCTAATAATGAGGATATGCATTCACATAGTTAAAGTGGAACTACAATTAGTCGAGACCCACTGGGGCTCTCCTCCGACTTCATGTGTTAAGAATCTACCAGGTTTAATGATGGCCATAGATAGAGAGCCCACTGGAGTTCTCCATTTTTTCCATTTGAAGTCGTAATTTTTTCCAACTTCATTAAAGTCATAAGTCTTCACAAAATGTGCTACAAAAATAAAATTCTCCAGAAATTGATCCATCACCAAGATCACAAATTTAGGAGAGGTTAATATATTAAATGTGTTAATGTCAAGTTTAGAAAACTCGGGATAGAACTCAAAATACTTCATCCTTATAGGTTTTGTACCCTTACAGACTTCGTGCTTTGGGGGCTTATGTACTTCCCGAAAATTTTAGGACAGATCTTACTTTTCGAATTTGAATAGGGCTGATATATAACCCTGAAAAGTTAGGAAGTCGGGGAGTTATTACGAATTCGGGTGGGATGTACATTTCTGATTTTGTTGCAACTCGAATAAGGCAAATCAGATAGTCGCTATACATCTCAGTCATAAGGATCTCAGTCATAAGGGTTTAAAATGCCTAAACCGAGTGAGACGATAAAACTGGTATGGATTTCTCATCCCATATTCTAGAAAGCGTATCACACAAAGCGCACTTACCGTTACGGTATACCAAGGTCATAAAATGTTACAACATTTAACTTAGTAATACATTTGACGGTTACATACGTTACAAATTGAATAGCCATTAAACCTCTTAAATAGGTCAAAGTTTATAAAAAAGAGTGGGAGAAAGATGATAATGAGGGAGATGAAACATAGTGAAGAACAGAAAATGTATCAAACCTAATAAAAACTTTAGTCCCCAAACACGGTGACCATCAACCATATTCCAATCATAGACATTTCAACCCTATCAAACCTAATAAAAACTTTAGTCCCCAAACACGGTGACCATCAACCATATTCCAATCATAGACATTTCAACCCTATATTTATAACATTCTCTAACTAAAATTAGGGATGTTAACCATTTGATATTTTTAATCAGAACAAATCTTGGGTTGAGGAGACTTGACATTATGAATAAAATTTGCATGTTAAAATTGGGGTGGAAGCTGCGAGGTGCTTTGGGGAAAATGTCGTTGTAGTGAAAAGCTCGGGATCAGATTAGTTTGAAGCCTACAGATTTAAGTCTCTCAAAAAGAATTGTTAAGTTGTGGCCTAAGCTTAATGAGAATTGTTTTTAGTCTATTGATGATAGTAAGACATGCGTCGGGGATAAGGATCACGGATTTGAATATCCAAATTCCATATGTGATTCAGCATGCCTTTGAATTGGCCCTTATTGGTGCAATGGCTCATTGAGGATGTTCTGAAATTGGATTTTCATATAGCAAACACGAATTCTGTGTGTCGAATATGTACATGTTGCTTGCTGATTCCCAGTGCAAAGATGTAGGTGATTATTGGAAACAGATTTGGAGGCTTAAAGTCCGTTACTTCGTCTGGTTGTTGTTCTATGATAGGTTGCTTACCAATGGAACATATGTTACATATAAAAAGATAAAAGAAAACATGCCCAAATTAGATGTCACAAACATGAAAACTATATTTATATTTCAAAATCTAAATATATATCAAGTTAGCTTCAATTTGAAACACCAAGAAGCAACCTCAAAGTAAAAATAAAAACAAGTACCAAAACAAAAATAATCTTTAAGCAAGAGAAATTAAAAATCAAAGCCACCAGCATCAAAGCCATCATCATATCCAGCATCATAAGCACCAGCATCGGAGACCATATCACCAATCAACATCCCACCTAATGCACCTCCAAGCAACCCTGCTCCCAAGCCCATTCCAAATTTATTCTTCTTAGGTTTCTGTGCCCCTGGATATCCATAACCCGGTTGTTGTTGTGGTGGATACCCATAACCCGGTTGTTGCGGTGGATATCCATAACCTTGTTGTTGTGGTGGGTACCCATAACCCTGTTGTTGTGGTGGATAGCCGTAACCAGGTTGAGCAGGTGGATATCCACCTTGAGCCGCCGCCGCCGCTGCCGGTGGTGGATATCCATATCCAGCCCCTTGTTGCGGTGGAGGATAAGGTGTACCGTACGGAACAGAACTAGACCCCGCAGCCACTCCGGGTGGAGGATACGCCAACACTGGTTCATCTTTCCCCATCTTCGATTCATGATTCCCTTTCACCTCTGACTTTGTCGCCGGAGCTCCGACATGTTCGCCGAATTTGTATGAGAGATTCAACGACCCCTTGGATTTCCCTGATGTTGTCCTAACCTGATAACTAACTTGCCTTAAAGAATCTCCGGAAGGGTTATCGAGAAGTTCCTTGAGAGGCATATGAACGGTACCGATCATGGTATCTCCAGCGACCTTGCGATTTGAGATGAGTTTGATCTCAAGAGAGAGACGATTCTGATTAGCAAGAGATTCATTGACAGTGAATTTGATCGGGAAATTCCAGGTAGGGTTTGTTCCTCCGTTACGGTGGATATGAGTGGTGGCGGTTTGTGGATTGATAGGATCGCCGGAGATTGAAACGACAGCGTATACGTCCATCTTGGAGAAGAGATTGACATCTTTGAGATCTTTTGCAGAAATTAAATTGAGTTCTAGGGTTCTATATTCCATGGTCATCAACAGAAAAGAGAGAGATCAAACAGATTTGAGAGATTTGATGAATACTTTGTGTGTATAATAAAGTGTGTGATATTAGGTTTATACGATGTAACATAAGGTATATTTATATTTGAGAAAATAATCGTAGAAGAAACTTCCTGGTAGATACTGTTTTTTTTTTGTTTTTTTATTTATTTTTTATTTACGCGTAAAACAACGTTACCAACTTATTAGTTACTACTAATTATTTTTAATTTTAGTTTTTTTTTTTTTGATAGAGGCGGTTCCGTATTTTTTTTTCTTATAACTTATTTTTTAATATTAAATATAAGTTTCGTTGACTATTTTTTTAGAATAAACTTTTACGTTTAATTTCTTAAAAATTTTAAACATTTTTAATGTATACTTTTTTTAAAAATTGTGTTCATGGTACAAAAAGAATATCTTGTAGTCATTTTGTAATATTAAATATATATTTATAGTAAGTATTTAGATAAATGATAATAATACGTGTGTTCTGGTCTGGGCCCAGCTTGGCCACGTAGGCCCAGCCCAATAATATTCTGCCAAGCTCAGTTCAGCTTGGGTCGCAGCGTCGGACACAGGGTTCCCGACGAGCAGGAAATGTCCCTCCGCGGAGGAAGACTTGCCTCAGCTACGTCGGGCACAAGATCCCCCGTCGACCAAGCACTGTTCTCTCCGCGGGCAGAACCTGCTCCTTTGCCGGGGATGACAACGTGTCTTTCACACGTTCTCCACGTGCTCCCCTCCGCGGAGACACGTCACCGACCAGCTGTCCACCTCCGAAAGAGCAGGTCAAACCCACTTTCTAGAGATCACGGAACAGTTGGACTAGGGCGAAGACCAGGTCCTGGTCTTCACTACGCCACGTAAGCCCTAGCAGTCACCTGGGTTGGGCCTGACGATCCAGCCCAACACAAGTGATTGTTGGCCCAGCGTTGGAGTCTCTCTATAAATACCCTCTTTCACAAAAGAGTCAGGTAATTCACTTCTTACCATTTTTCTGTACTTGTGATCACTCTGCCCATACACTTACTTTGACATCAGAGTGTCTTGCAGGAACACTCCATCTTCCTCTTCATCACCGGTGAACCGGCAGCAGCCTAACAGAGTGTGTCTAGTTAATGATACTTTTTTTATCATATCAATATGTTTTTAGTAATTACATGTTAAGAAATAATTTATTATTATTTATACAATAATGCATTCGTTGACCGTTTCTTAAGGAAAAACTGTAACGTTTGATTCCTAAAATTAGTTAAATATTTTTAATATATATCCTGTTTAAAAAAGAATGTCCTTGCAGCATTTTTTATAAGATAAGGACGAAAAGTATTTTTTTTTACCAGAGGAGTATTATGAACACTGTGTTCCTAGTATTCCTCTTTTTATAAATAGTAAATATTAAAATAAATAAAAAAATTAGAGATTAAAATATTAAAAACCATGATAATTATTAAAAAATGTATTTAATATATTTTATATTAATCTTTTAGGTTTCTTAATTAATAGTGTTTTAAGTTTTTACGTTTTTTTCCATTTATTATAACAAAATGGTTAAAAATTAAAAATAAAAATATTGCGGGCAATTGTTCTCTTTATATTTTTCATTAATTTTTTTGTCATTTTAAACATATATTTACTATTAAAATAGTCTGTTTTGCATTCGTTGTTTAACAGATATGGATTAAAATTTAGAAATTAATATAAATTAAAATTAAAATTATAATGAATAAAAATATGTTTTTTTTTTTGTGAATAAATAATTTTGTAGGTTATTTAACTATTCATTATTTCATTTAATATAGTAAAATGGTCAACAATAAAAATGCCCAACGCAACAATGGTGAAATATTATTAGATACTTAATTGAATTTTTCGAAAAAGGACAAAAATGACAGTGAGTTATAAGTAGTTTGCTCTACAAAAGGATAAAGAATTTTGTAATTATAAAAGATTTAATTTTATATTTTCTGATAATTGATAAAGTTTAGGTTTAGTGGAAAAATATGAGGATCTATACCGGATATTTAATATGACATTTAAGACTGACGAGGAAAGTGAGTGATTATCGGTACATAAAAAATAGATTATAAGTTTCTCAAATAAGGCGTTTACACGAGCCTCTTTGAAGAGACTCTAAGAAATAGACTCTAAGTCTCTCAAGTAAGGCGTTTAAATGAGTTTGTCAGACGAGACTCTAAGTTTCCTAGACGAGGCATTTAGATGAACCTGACTGATGAGACTCTAAGTTCCTCAGGATAAACTTTACGTCGAGTCTCTTAAGTAAGACTTCAATTGAGTCCCTCGGGTGAGACTTTGAGTTGAGTCTTTTGAGTCAGACTTTTGTCGAGTACTTTTGATAAGACTTTAAGTTGAGTCTGTCTGATAAGATCCTTAGTCCCTCATGCGAGGCGTTTAGATGAGCTTGTATGATGAGACCCTCAGTCCCTCAGGAGAGGCCTTTAGATAAAGTGATCCACCACATATAACACATTTGTATTGCTCATGAGGGCAATAAGGATCTTCAAGTGGAAGTCCAACATTTGTGTATTTTCTTAAGAGGCGAAAATGATCTTTCCGTGGAAGTCCAACACTCATGTATTGCCTTAAGAGACAATAAATATATTTCTGTAGATGTCCAAGCATTCATGTATTGCCTTAAGAGATGGTAAAGATCTTCTTTTGTAATTCCAGGGTTCATGTATTATCTTAAGAGGAGACAAAGATATTTCTATGAAAGTCCAGTATATTTAACAGTAATATTAAAATATTCTTCTTGCTCATAAATATTAAGAAATTCATACATAAGTGGTCAGCATGGCCTTTAATAACTTGCAAATAACTTGACTGTAATAATATTTTAAGCTGGTGGAGTTCCAAGTCTTAGGGATGATCCACACATCCAATTCCTCTGGCTTATATACTCCACATGGTAACTTTTGGAATATGTGATATGGTCATTCACATTTGGACTTCAATTTTTCATGTTGAGTAGGAAGAACGACTTGTCTTAATTCCAAGTCGTCTTCTTGCATTTCTCTTGGCATTACCTTGATGTTGTATCTTCTAGTTTCCCTTTGCTTAGCGAAAATCTCTCGGATGTGGGCGACATCTCTTACTTCGTTGATTAAATTGACAACGCAGCTCATCCCTGAATTGTTCACATCCTGGTTAAACTGAGAACTCCTTCATGATGGCATGCCAACCTCTACGGGTAGAATAAAATTGTCCCCGTAAACTATGGTGAAGGACGTCTCCTTGGTAGTTGAATAAGGGGTGGTATGATATGACCATAATATTTCATGGAGTAATTCAATCTATATCCATTTGGCAGCATCCAAATTTTTCTTGATCCCTCTCAATATCACCTTGTTTGCTGACTCAACTTTTTCAGTGGCTTGTCGGTGGACAACAAAGACGAACTTCGTTTGCACTCCTAGCTCCCGGCAAAAGTCTATAATTCTGATAATAGAGAACTGCATTTCATTATTTGAGACGATGACACATGGTAACCCGAACATGTACATGATTTTTTGAAAATACAAGCGGCGAATTATTTTTTCTATAATCTTGGCGACAACCTCTGCCTCTATCCACTTTATAAAATAATCGACTCTTACAATCATAGTTTTCAATTGCCCAAACTCTAGAGGGAATGGGCCTAGAATGCCCATCTCACTAGTAAAAAGGTCTGGGCAATGTCATAGATTGAATGAGCTCAATTAGGGGCGTGATGTAGGTCGTTGTGTCTCTCACATCGACCACACTTCTTAACAAACACCATGTTTTCTTTCAACAAGGTAAACCTATAGTAACATGCCCTTAGTAGTTAGTGGTAGAGGTATCAGCCATTCATGTGACTACCACATGCTTCGTGATGAACCTCAACAAGGGCTAAGGTGGTTTCATGATCCCCTAGACATCATATCACTGGGGAGCCATTTCACATCATGTAGAGTTTTCCCACCATAATGGTATACTCAGCAGCCTGCTTCTAGACCTTCTTGTCCTTCACCTGATCATGGGGGAGTTCGTCCTCCTGCAAATAGCGCAGTATGGGCGATATTCAACTTGAGTTTGAGTCGACTCCCAGGATGTAGATTTTTTCCGCCTCAATGTTAGGGATAGAGAGAGTCTCTTGTATCACTGTCCAATTTTACTTCGTCGTTTTTGTGCTGGAAATCTTAAACAGAAGGCCTGCTCTAAAGTTCTGCTCCATGGGTACGTAATTTAATTTAAAAGACTCAAAGCGTGTTGATAAATCTAGCACCTTGTAGAGATATTTTATGATTTAAGGCTCCTTTTCTCGGTACTCTACAGCGACTTGATTGACAACCATTTGGGAATTGTTTTTCGCCTTTAGTCTTAAAGAACCTTTATCTAGGGAGAAGACATTTCTGGCTATGAGAACTTCATTATCTGGCTTGTTATTGTTGGACCTAAACTCAAATTTTAATGATTATTTGATAAGTATGTTACTTGGTCCTTATATCACTATCTCACTGCTGCTCCTCTTGATGTTTAAGGCGCCATCAACCAATAGCGTTCATTCTATGGGTGCCTTTTTGTATACAAGAGAGTTAAATTTTGCCAAAAAATCTTCCAAAACTTGGTACTTGATGCTTCCTTTTTTAACATATTGGATGTCACGCTCCGGCAGTCGTACTGACCAAGACATCATTCTTCTTGCTAGATCTGACTTCTTGAGAATATTTTAGACCGGTTAGTATGTTTTTACTAGGGTTAGAGCTTTCTCTCAATGACAACGATAACCGAAGATAATTTCTCAATCTTCTAATAATGGGACTCGGCGCCTTTAAATATTTTGCTAACGAAATACGTCGGCCGCTATGCCTTGTTCGTTTCTCGGACAAGTATTGAACTTATGGCTTAATCTGTGATTGAAAGGTATAGAAGTAGTGGCGACCCTGCTTTTGGGTGAATGAGGATATGTGACAATATGATGAAGGTTTTTATTCTTATGAACGTATCAT